TTATATAGTAAAACTTGAGTTCTGCTTAGCTATACCTTAACCAATCATTTTCCTGAAATTTAACTAACCAATCCTAACATATTGTAACATGATTATGTAACCAATTATATCCCACCACCTTAATTAGTTTACACCCAGCAAAATTAATTATACAGCAGACAGGAACAATCACAGAACCAGACAGAGATTATACAGACAAACAACAGCAAAGTGGGAACTGTAATGACAAGACAATACAGAAGTGAGGATTTCACATCCCAGCTATTGATAAGTGAGTTCTTGCCAGACAGGATGCTATCAAACTAAGTTTCCTTTTACATTTTCTAGGCACTTCCCCTTCTGTGGAGGTGATAGGAATACAATCCTGTCCTGATAGTGCCTAACAGCCCAATAGCACCTTATTTCAATGTGACTAGTTTGGAATGTGAGGATGTGACCGTTCGCTTCCCAGCTTATGGCTGCCTCTGCTGCTTAGCCAAAGGCCTGAGCCTAAGCACAGGGCCACAAACTGTCACAGTAAGAGAAGGCCCTTACACCGGCAGACAGTGATTTCTTTCTTTTATACCTCTAGAACTAGCCAAGCGATAAGAATACACCTAAATTCTTAGAGTATAGGCCTTTACAGACAGGCCTGAATATCTATATCCTAACAGTACGAATCACTGATGAAGGCTCCAGAAACAAGGATTCCATTTAAATGACTGCTTTCTTGTTCTCACTATTATTATGCTGCTTAATCCAGATTTTTATTTGCAGTGTGATGTGACCAGTGAAACCTCAGTGCTGCTATGGGGCTCTCAAAGGGTAACAAACAATTTTAAAGGGGCACTTCCTCTCCTTAACAATCACGTTTTGAAAAGAAATTTGTCAGCTTCATTGCAGACACTTTAGAGTATTTAAAAATGAGCTTTTTAACAACTGATCTGACTTATTTTTAAACATGTGTTTACTCTTTGCCTTTTTCTCAGCTTGGACAGTGAAAAGAAGATCTGAAGAAGAGCTCTGTGAAGCTTAAAAGCTTGTTTCTCTCACCAACAGAAGTTGGTCCAATAAAGGATATTACCTTACCACCTAGCCTTGTCTCTCTATTATCCTGAAACCAACACAGCTATAACAGTGCAAACAACAACAAAAACCCTAGTTAGTTTCACTTCCTGGTTCTCTTGCACTAGCAGGATACAGCTAAGAGAACTTAGAGTTGAACATAGGATTGCAAATAGAGCTGGATGAAAAATGGGGGAAGGAAATGGGGCAAAATTTTTGAAATTTTTAAGTAATTTCTTTCTGCAGTGTTCAAAAAGGAATAATTTTTTATTCTAAAATTTTCAGTTTTTATATTTTTCATTTTACTTTCCATCCAAATCCATCCCCCTTTTTTTCTTTCCTCCCCTTTTTGCATTAAAAAAAGGGAAAGGAGGAAAATAACGGTACAAACCAAAAAAAAAACCCCAAAAACAACCAAACCAACCTATGGCAATTTTTTGCTTTCAAATTTGATTGGAAAAAAAGTGGATGGGTTTGGGGGTGAATACCAAACCAAGAAAATGAAAAATGCTCATGAACATTTCTGATTGAGGAAAAAAAGGCCATTTTTAAAATGAAAACATTTTGTGTATGAAAAAAATTGGCCAGCTCCAGCTGGTGGGAGGATGGGGGTAATGAAATAATGTTTATTTATGTATAAAAATAGTTTCCAGTGGATTTATTTTTTAAATCCTAAAAATATTTGTATTGATTTTAGACGTTTTTAAAGCGTTTTTCTTTAAACCAAACTTTGAACCGACAGTGTCCCCTTTACATGGGCAAAATCAAAACTGTCCAATTCAGGGATTCTTCAGCTCCTGCATTCTATAGAATACTTTAAGATGAATCCTCATATGCGTCCACCTACCTTCCCTGACTAGTTTGATTCTCAACACATTTAATTCTGTGAATCAACAGGAAGGATTAGAGACTGTTGGAGGATTAGAGACTATAGCATGAGTGCTGCTGGTCTAGCTAAGACAACGTTTACGACATGGCTAGTCTATTTTCTAGCCATGTCGGGGTAGAAACAGATTGGCCACTGCTTACAATCCAGCTGCTTGCTAAAGTAACTCCCTGTGTGGTAAGAGTCCAACACAAAATAAATGGCTTCTCGCAGCCCAATTTCAAAGAGAACAAATAAAAAAATTAAAGCTTCCTACTGCCAGAATCCTCAAGTAACAATAAGAGGTGGAACATTAAGCAAGTGAGGGAGTGATGGCTCAGGGGACTAGATAATGGGCTAGCCTACCTTTTGCCTCTAAGTTATGGATTCGAATCCAGCCCAGCTTGGTAGTGACAGAGTTATCATCCAATGGCTGTTCAATGGCCTACACAAAATCAGTCAACTTACTAGGGAACTGGTGGGTCTACTTCACAAAACTTCCATCTCCTTAGTACCTGCCTTTCTCACTCCTAGTTCCACCCACCCCCTAAAAGAACCAGCCTCCAACCTTCCACACCCACTCTATGGTATCAGCAACCTAACAGTCCTGCTCTGCCCTACAGCTCTTCTTATATGAGCCTGCCAGGCTGTGACTGACTGCTCCTCTCGACCCCTTTCTAATTAGCTGCCTCTGTCACAGCCCGGTTGCTAGTTTTACTCTGGCCTGACTTTTAATGTTCCTTGCGTGAAGGACAGGTTCAGAACCTGCAACAGGCTGGAGTTGGGTCATGTATGGAGTAAAGGGAAAGGATGGAGGGCTCTGGCATGGGGAAAGGAAATTGGGTCAAGACATTAATATTTGCCTACTTCTGACTTTTTTTGGTTCATTTGATCCTGTTACAAACTGTTTTAGCTCTATGTTTGATGTATGTATGTAAATAAAAGTTACTGTTCACTTCACTTGTGCGTGCATCTTGTTTTATGAATATGATCAACAGGATACATCCCACAGGCTTGGATGGGGTATCAAAATTCACAACACATGGTTGACATCTTAAAAGGCTGGTGCCATGGAAATGCAATCAATTTCCTCTCTCCCACAACCCCTTTCTCCACCCCTGGCCAATGAATTTGCTAATATGTCTTTAAAATAAATAAATAAATAAATAAATAAATAAATAAATAAATAAAGCATTTGTGACAATGAAGTGAGCTGTGAAATAACTGTCACTGTCCAAAGTGCCAGAATGAAAATGGAAGATAAATTAACTGAAACTTCTTTATGGTTTTAACGATTTAAGTGACAATACAGACAAGGGAAACAAAACTAAATTGCCACTGAAGATCAGTGCAGTCCTTTCACTACCCCTCCTCCCCTATCCCCAGCAAACAGCCACCACTGGAAACCATGAGAGTATTCATGCTACCAGAGTAATGGTGCATAGCACCTCATAAGTGCTGAGAGCAACAGTGTCAGAAAACATTGAGGAAGGAATGCTTCCCCAAACCTTACAGAACTTTAAAAAAATTACTTTAACAATGTTTAAGGGTGCCTGTGATGGGTTTCACTCACCACTCTGGCACCTCCTGCCGGCTGTCATGGGAATTTGCTCTGCTCGCCAGGGCACCCTCCTCTGGTGATGCCCTGCCACCGTCACTTTTGTTCCAGGACCTGCCCCACTCCCAAGACTGCAGCATCCTCTTCATTGACACTGCCCTCCGGCTGTGCCATACTCTATGTTCCCTCCTTCCAGGGGACCTGCAATCTCTGTCCAGCCACTCCCACAGTGGCAACTGCAGTCCATTGTCCTGGGGCTGCTTCCTATGCGTCTCCAGCACCCTCTTCTGCCCTTACCTCAGGGCCTCAGCCTGCAGGGCCTAGCCATCAGCCAGGAGCTCTCTCTAGCTCCCCCGGTCCCTGCTTGCAGCACTGCTCTGTCCTAAGTGCTGGCGCTCCTTCCTCCTGCTAGGAACCTGGTATTCTTCCCAGAGCTCCAGTCAGCTACTGAACTCTGCTCTGCCCTTCAGCCCTTCTTATATGAGCCTGCCAAGCTATGATTGGCTGCTCCTCTCCACTCCTTTCTAATTGGCTGCCTCCGGCGCAACCTCCCTAGGGCAGCTTTTAACTCCTTTTCTGCCAGTGATGGGCAGCCACCCCATCATAGCACCCCATAAAACAACTCAAAATACAGTAGTTAACATATAAACAAAAAACATTGCACAGGATGCCCTCAAAGTGCATTAAAACTTCCCTCAGCACAACACCATGGCTAAAGGTGTTAACCTTGAGGGACCGCCCTGATTTTCTGCTTTTCAATCAGTACGTTAATGTTGGCTACAGGGGATTGAAACCCACCAAGGTGTCTCACAACAGCAGTATGTGGCAATGCTCTATTGAGCTTTTCCAACAGCACCGGTAGTGTTCTTTGGCACAGTCCCCAATTACCTTCCAGCTCCCTCTTGTTCCGTGATGTACTAACACACAGCATCACAAATTTCCCTGTGTTGTGTGCACATGGGTGGGATCTGGCTGCCTGTACACACTTTGAGAAACAGATCTGCCCTGTGACCACTCAGAGTGGGAGTATTCTCCTTTAGCCTAACATACATTCTGCAAGGCACAGCATGCCAAAATAATCCAAACCCTATTGGCCACATTGGCATCCAGACTGGTCCAGAGGCATTACCAGTGGGCTTTCAGCCACCCAAAGGCACACTTAGCCACCTTTCTGGAGCTGCTAAGTCTGTAGTTAACTTCCCTTTTTCTTGAGTCAGCAATGTTGGGGTACAGCTTCATGAGCTACAGTAGGAGTAAGTATGTGGAGTCCCCAAAAATAAATGTGAGCACAGAAACATTGTACATAATCACACCCTTTGCAGCAGAGCAGACAAAGGGAAAGGCACCACGCACAAAAGGTGCTCCATGACTAGACAGAGCTAATTCCTGGAGCAACCAGCGGGAGGTGCCAGCAGTGGTGAGTCTTAACCCTGTCACACCCTGCATGCGTCATGGACTGAATATGGAATTGTGTTAGCAGCCTTATCTGTAAGGTTCAGCTATAGCAGAGAGAGAATTATTACTCAATCTGGATTGTACTTAGTGTAAATATTTTAATATGCACAGAAAATAACACAGATCTGATTCTTTCTGTCACATGTTTAGGGTATAGACAATGATTATGCTTAGTTTAAAAAAAGTGCTAGAAGATAAAAAATTCATTCTTTCACAGTGCAAACAGTAAGCCTTGAAAAAAAGATACAAAAAATTCCTATACTGCTTCCTTCTTCAAATCCATTGTTAGTGCTTTTTCTTTAGAAAAATACATTCATTTTATGAACCAATATACGACTTTAATATGATAAAATAACTCAGCACTATTCAGATTATAAAAATATAGTTATAGAAGTTTATCTACAAAGATTTCTGCCATATTGTGACGATATTCATTAATACTGCCATATGCAAGGTCAGGACTGTTTGTATCTCCATTACAAACCCTGAAAAATTTCTTGCCGGAAGCAGGGGTAAGATGCGGTTTTATAACTCAGAAAGCTCACACTGCACAGAGCTAAAGTCTGATGTGTATTATGCAATTTGTAAACCCAGTTGCATAGCTGATATAGTATACATTGCACAGGCCATGTTCAAGTTAAAAGATGTCTAAGGCTACGTTTTAGTCATGGGTATTTTTAGTAAAAGTCATGGAGAGGTCACAGGCAGTAAACAAAAATTCATGGCCCGTGACTTGTACTATATATCTCTAACTAAAACTTGGGCTGGGGGGCTGCGGGTGCTCTGGGGGGAGGGGACAGTCTGGGGCCACGGCAGGTGCTGGGGGTGTGGCCCAGGACCCCCTGCTGGTGCTGGGAGGAGGGCGGGGGAGAGGCAGATGGTGGCACGTGGCCTGGGACACCTGCTGGTGCTGGGGGGGTGGCGAGCTGCTCGGGACCCCCGCTGGTACTGTGGATAAGGTGGGCAGCGATGCATGGTCTGGGACCCCCTCTGGTGCTGGGGGAGGCCAGGTGGTGGCACACGGCTTGGGACTCCCGCTGGTGATGGCGGAGGGTCTGGGAGGCAGCAGTGCATAGCCTGGGACTCGTTCTGGGGGGTGGGAGGGTTAGTGGGGCTGGCAGGTTCCCTACCTGACTCCGGGTGTCCCTGCAGCTCCTAGGGGGAGGAAAGGCCGGGGTGGCTCCCCAAGGTACCCCTGCCACGAGTTCCAACTCCCATTGGCCAGGAACCGCAGCCAATAGGAGCTGCAAGGGTGGCGTCTGCGAGCCTGGGCAGCGCGCGGAGCCCCTGACCCCTCTGCTTAGGAACTGCAGGGACATGCTGGCTCATCCCCCTGAGGTAAGTGCTGCCCTGCACCCTAACCACCTGCCCCAGCCCTGAGCCCCCTCCCATACCCAAACCAGCTGGTGCTGCTGGCCCAGGGGATGCCTGATCTGCTCGGGCAGCCCCGGAGCCAGCCACATCCGCTGCTGCAGAAGTCACTGAATCCATGACTTCCGTAACCTCTGTGACAGACACGTAGCCTTAAAATGTCTAATCAAACATGGTCTGCAGTTTCGGCCACCCTTTTATAAAAAAAAACCCATCAAACTAGGTCCTTAGCTTGTATAAATTGATGTCGTCCCATTGACCTGAAATGATGGATTTATAGCAACTGAGGAGCTAACTCTCTAGCTAGTACATTTGCATTTCAAAACATTAAATTGAATAGGAAACCTGGCTTTTACTGATACTTTTTGTTTTAAAAGTGGAATATTTAGAGACACCAAAATTACCTCCAGGTATAGTCTGGCACCTCTAACTTGTTTGTTTGCTACAGTTTTGCTGCTATGTAATATCACTTGCATAACAGAAAACTCATATTTTAGGCCTCCTGGAATCTAGTCCTGGTATCATCGCTAAATTGCTGGATGACCTTGAGCAAATCATTTACAGCCTAATCCAACTTCTACTGACTCCAATGGGAGCTGGATTAGCTCTTAATCTCTGTGGGTCAGTTTCCCTCCCAGCAAGATGTGCACAGTAGCATGTACCCCTTACAGGGGTCTGGTGAGGCTTTAATTAATGCTTCTTAAGCACTTCGAGATCCTTGGCTCAAAAAGGCACCAACTAGATAAACGGCGCAGGGTGGCTGTTCTAAATTGCTACACATATGCTGAGAATGTGTAGCACGGCTGCAGCTCTCAATAGGTGAATGACCGCATTCTGTATGTGGGAATGTGTGCCTCATACGAGTAAATATATACAAAAATTTAGGGCCTAAATTTGCAGAAGCAACTAGTGACTTTGGGTGCTTCAACATGAGATGCCTTAAGTGGGCCTGATTATTTTTTTTTTCTTTTTCAGAAAGGGCAGAGCACTCACACTCTGATAGCTGGACACTTTGAAGTGTGGTACCCAAAAACGGAGGCACCCAAGACCACTAGTCAATCACTCTTGAAAATGTAGGCCTTTATTAACATAAAAGTTTGACTTAACCCCCCAAATAAAGTCAAATTAAAATCAGGTTTGGAGCAGTTATTTGTGAGTTTTCAACACACAGCTCTGTTACCAACTGCATCCAGGGCTTGTTGGAACTCAAAAAGAAGCACTAAATCTTACATGTTTATAGCACATTTCATCCTCAGAATCCCTAAGGGCTTTACAAACGTAAACAAATTATACACAAGGATCCCATCCATCAGACACCAAAATGCAGACTCTTCTAGAGGGACACATAGCAAATGTTGTGCAGCAAACAGTTTAGAAAAAAGTGATGAAGAATACTGTAGCCAACAGAGGCTACTAGGACAACTTAGGTCAGAAGAATGTCCTGAGTTTAAACTTGGTGTCCTGCCCAACCTTTAACACCCCTGGATCTTGCCAACAGTTCCAGAAGAAATTTAGTGACTGCAGGAGTTTGGTTTTATGTCTCATACGAAACACAGCATCTTCAGAAGCAGGTTATCCTCAGTACAGTGCTGGGGCTTTGGTTCAACACTGACTAGAGGGAAGAGTGCCACCTACTGAATCTTCCTAACACCAATTTAAGGGCATCAGAACACTGGATGAAGTTTACATACTTATAAAACTGTGAGCATCCCCTTGAGGCACCCTATTGGCTGTCCTCAGAATCTTTCTATTTTGTCAGTCAAAATCAGATCCTTACTATTAATGTAACAGAGCCCTTTGCACTTTTGTGTACCATTGCTTCCAGTATATCCTCTAATAAAACTTAAGTGGGATAACTCAGAAGACTTTCCCTTCCTTCCTCCCACCCCCCAAGTACAGTGCTTTGGACTCTGAGGTCAGACTTCGGTTTGAAAAACCACTTCTCTCCAAACTTTCATAGCCAGGTATCCTCTTCATTTTCAGAAAGGTTGTCAGTGCTCCGATGACTCCTTCTATAAAAAGTAGAGGATCACAGGTGAAGAGTTTTTTTTTCCCCTGCTTGCTGTTGTTCTCCTCCCTCCCCCCACTTTTTAAAGCTAAACTTACAGGCTAAAATTTAGCAACCTCAAATAATAAACAGAGAAGGGGAGAACCACTACTAGCAAGATATGGTTTTTATAGTGTCTTGACCAATTTCCACAACTGGTATTTTAAGATCATACAAAGGAGAAACAGCAAAGACCTATTATACTACCTAATCCATCATCCAAGTTCGGGGAATTGTTCTACAGTATATTTTTAGGACTTAATATTGTCTTAAATATGCTAAATGACAGCTGAGGGTTTACTCCCCTCACCCTTGATATTTGGCCTAATTTTTTTTAACTGGACCAGGAGTCTTCCAGAAAGGAAAGGAAGAGAAAATATGAATGAATGTAAAAAAAAAAAAATGCAGAACAAATGCTTAACCTCACTCTACCACAAGATTTCAGACCTTCTTTACACACCAGAAAGAAGAAGAAAAAAAAGGAGTCACATTTTTCCCATTTGCAGATAGCTAAGGAGAATATAATTAAACATGACCTAAGAAATATCCCCTTCTAGTTTCCACTGGATACAATATTCTCCACTTCCCAGATGAAACTTTAATATAATGGTGCTGTGCTGTGCTTCACCCATGGAAGGCTGGTGGATTATATGATTTCTGTTTGTTATTTTGTATCATTTAAATTTGCGGATTACTTTGGGAAACCAACAGAAGTAATCTCTTAGAAAGACACTCTATATACACAAGGACTCTGCAACAAAGGTAAGATACTAGAAAAATAATGTTCTGCAACTTACAGAATTTAAGAAACTTTAAACAAACCCAAAACTATGATAGTAGCTAATTTCCCCAACCCTGAATCCTGGCATCCTGTAAGAGAGGCTGCTCTGATATTATTGCACTTTGCTTCTGAGTCAAACCTACCTTAACAGCTCGAGTGCAAATTCAGTTTCTTTTCGACTTTTTTCAGTGATTGGGTAAAAGAGGAGTATGGATAAGCCTATAACAATGAGGATGGCAGGGACTGCCCCAATCAAGATTTTCAGTGTGAGGATCACAGTGCTGGATTGCCTGCACATCCCTGTTTTATAACCAGCAAACCTATAAAAACACACATACGGACACTGCTGTTATTCCTCTACCTAAAAGGCACTTGGTCACATTAAGGGCTTTCCCCGATCTCCTACCCTCCCACCACCAACTAAACCTCTGCTCCAATTTCTTCTTACACTTCCTCTTGCTCTTTTATATCTTATATGCTCCCTTTTCGGGGAGGGAAGCCAATCCTACGGCTACCAACATGAAATTTGTCACTGATATCAGTGGGAGCAGGTTTCAGCCCTTTGCCCCCTTTCTCCCACTCCTTGTCTTTGTGCCTTCTCTGAAATAATTTTATTACCTTTACACAGTCAAAGCATGGAATTACATGCTGCTGTTACTACTGTACAGACTTAATTATTAACAAAGAGGGACAATATCTAAACAAATACTTCGCCTCAGTCTTTGATGAGGCTAATGAGGATCTTAGGGATAATGGTAGCATGACAAATGGGAATGAGGATATGCAGGTAGATATTACTATATCTGAGGTAGAAACGAAACTCGAACAGCTTCATGGGACTAAATCGGGGGGCCCAGATAATCTTCATCCAAGAATATTAAAGGAATTGGCACATGAAATTGCAAGCCCATTAGCAAGAATTTTTAATGAATGGGTAAACTCAGGGGTTGTACCATATGACTGGAGAATTGCTAACATAGTTCCTATTTTTAAGAAAGGGGGGAAAAACGTGATCTGGGTAACTACAGGCCTGTTAGTTTGACATCTGTAGTATGCAAGGTCTTGGAAAAAATTTTGAAGGAGAAAGTAGTTAAGGACATTGAGGTCAATGGTAAATGGGACAAAATACAACATGGTTTTACAAAAGGTAGATTGTGCCAAACCAACCTGATCTCCTTCTTTGAGAAAGTAACAGATTTTTTTAGACAAAGGAAATGCAGTGGATCTAATTTACCTAGATTTCAGTAAGGCGTTTGATACGATGCCACATGGGGAATTATTAGTTAAATTGGAAAAGATTGGGATCAATATGAACATTGAAAGGTTGATAAGGAATTGGTTAAAAGGGAGACTACAGCGAGTCATACTGAAAGGTGAACTGTCAGACTGGAGGGAGGTTACCAGTGGAGTTCCTCAGAGATTGGTTTTGGGACCAATCTTATTTAATCTTTTTATTACTGACCTTGGCACAAAAAGTGGGAGTGTGCTAATAAAGTCTGCGGATGATACTAAGCTGGGAGGTATTGCCAATTTAGAGAAGGACCGGGATATCATACAGGAGGATCTGGATGACCTTGTAAACTGGAGTAATAGTAATAGGATGAAATTTAATAGTGAGAAGTGTAAGATCATGCATTTATAACTAAGAATTTAGTTATAAGATGGGAACGCATCAATTAGAAGTAATAGAGGAGGAGAAGGACCTTGGAGTATTGGTTGACCACAGGATGACTATGAGCTGCCAATGTGATATGGCCGTGGAAAAAAGCTAATGCGGTCTTGGGATGCATCAGGCGAGGTATTTCCAGTAGAGATAAGGAGGTGTTAGTACTGTTATTCAAGGCACTGGTGAGACCTCATCTGGAATACTGTGTGCAGTTCTGGTCTCCCATGATTAAGAAGGATGAATTCAAACTGGAACAGGTACAGAGAAGGGCTACTAGGATGATCCGAGGAATGGAAAACCTGTCTTATGAAAGGAGACTCAAGGAACTTGGCTTGTTTAGCCTAACCAAAAGAAGGTTGAGGGGAGATATGATTGTTCTCTATAAATATATCAAAGGGATAAATACCGGAGAGGGAGAGGAATTATTTAAGCTCAGTACCAATGTGGACACAAGAACAAATGGATATTAACTGGCCATCGGGAAGTTTAGACTTGAAATTAGACGAAGTTTTCTAACCATCAGAAGAGTGAAGTTCTGGAATAGCTTTCCAAGGGAAGCAGTGGGGGCAAAAGACCCATCTGGCTTCAAGATTAAACTCAATAAGTTTATGGAGGAGATGGGATAACATGATTTTGGCAATTAATTGATCTTTAACTATTCATGGTAAATAGGCCCAATGGCCTGTGATGGGATGTTAGATGGGGTGGGATCTGAGTTACTACAGAGAATTCTGTCTTGGGTATCTGGCTGGTGAATCTTGCCCACATGCTTAGGGTTCAGCTGATTGCCATATTTGGGGTCAGGAAGGAATTTTCCTCCAGTGCAGATTGGAAGAGGCCCTGGGGGTTTTTCGCCTTCCTCTGTAGCATGGGGCATGGGTCACTTGCTGGAGGATTCTCTGCACCTTGACGTCTTTAAACCATGATTTGAGGACTTCAATAGCTCAGACATAGGTGAGAGGTTTATTGCAGGAGTGGGTGGGTGAGATTCTGTGGCCTGCATTGTGCAGGAGGTTGGACTACATGATCATAATGGTCCCTTCTGACCTTAGTATCTATGAACCTCTATATTTTGACGTGATATTGACAATTTGTGTTTTAATGGTTATAAAGCTTTAGCTTTTTGAATCTCAACATCTTTTGTCATTAAATAATTGTCTGATCTTCCCCGCATAATTTCCCATAGCTGTGAAAATTTAAATAGATAAAAATTGAAAAAATGCTTAAAATAATTATTGATTTTATCCATCAGAATTATTAAATAAAAATTGAATTCTGCCAAGTCTCTCTATAGCAGAGCTTGTCTGATAAGTGAATCCTATCCCTACTGAACAAAGCTCTTAAGCATGTGGTTAACTTTAAATGAAGGTGAGTAGTCCCACTGGCATCAACAGAAGTTCTTACCTCCTTAAAGCTAAGGACATGCTTCAGTGCTTTGCGGGACAGGATTACTCTTATGCTTAAAGTTAAGCATGTACTTATGTGATAGGCTGAATCAGAACCAGGGGTGGGCACAGTATTACAATTACTGATGCCATGATTACCCATTTTCCATCAAACTACCTCCTATGTTCTCCCATAAATGTCAGCTCTGGACTCCAGCAGATGGCAAACTGCTGGGAGCTTGCTAACTAGAGTGAAGTAGCGTTAATCAGTTGACAGTAATTCTGTTAGTTATGAGCTCTCTGTATGTAGTCACTAAAACAGAGACTTGTTTTCCTGAGGGGGGGGGGACACTGCAGCGTCTGCTGCAAATTCATAACAGCTTGTGGGCAGATAAGTACTGACAAGTGGTTCCCAGTGTAGTCTATACATGAGCGACCACATCCCACCACCTTGTCATTTTGGTTCTCCAGTTTTAAACTGGAGTAGCAGTGGCAGAAGACACACAGTTAAATCACAACCGCCAACTGGGACTTGATCTCCTGCTCTACATAATGTGACCTCTACGGTGCAAAGTCAAAGTCAGCACAGAGGGGAGGTACTATAGGGTCACAGCACAGTGCAAGAGTTTGGAGGACAGCTTAAATCTGCCCTGTAGTAACAAGTTCCACTTTTCAAGAACGTTTCAGAAATATCTGGTTAATTACACTGGCTCTACCATCTATTTGAAATGTGACTTGTGACATTAATCTGGCTGGCTGAAATTTTTCGATTGGATATCACGTTTTCGACGACATGAAAGCTTTAAAAGGCACGGTCTGCTTTTCCTTGGAAAAAAAGTGCTATTTTTTTGTTCAAAATAAAATCTAAACAGACTAGACAAACAGTGGGAGGGGAAACCGAGAGCCAAAGAATTTACTTGCTCAAGGTCAACCTAGGGAGGTGGTGGAATCTCCATCCTTAGAGGTTTTTAAGGCCCAGCTTGACAAAGCCCTGGCTGGGATGATTTAGTTGGGGATTGGTCCTGCTTTGAGTAGGGGGTTGGACTAGATCTCCTGAGGTCTCTTCCAATCCTAATCTTCTATGATTCTATAACAAAGACCTCCTGAGGCAGAGTTGAGAACAGAACCCAGGTCTCCTGACTCTTAGACCAGTGCCCAAACCACTAAGTCCATGCTGCTACCTAAAGAAAGTGAAGAAGTGGGGTTTTTACCCACGGAAGCTTATGCTTTGTTAGTCTTTAAGGTGCCACCAGACTCCTTGTTGTTGCTTTCTTTAGGTAACAAAATCTAAAACCAAACAATTCTTAACAGGCCAGCAGGTGTCTTGGTGACCAGAAGTCTGACCTGTCAGATAACAATTTTGTGTTTAGGATTCAGCCATTATACATTCAAACTGGCAACCAGACTGTGTCTCTGAGCCCGCTGCATTCGCGAATGGTGAGAAGGCAATTACCACACAGCACCTCAGAGCCCTTTATTACAGCAACTAAGTGGAATAAAACATCACTTACTCCAGGCTTGCTGTGGAAATTCCTAATCCAATTCCGGCCGACATCTTGGTAAAGAAGACATATGAAGCATAAAAGATGGTTTCAGGTCCCTTTGCATGAGGATTCAGCAGGCGAAAGTGATCAACTACATCAGGCAACATTGACCTGCAAACCAGCAAGAGAAGAAGAGTATAAAAGCCTCAAGCAGAAGTTTCTGAGCCTCTTTAACATACAGAGTTTGCAGGGGCTTTTTTCTTGGAGGTTTGATTTGCGGAATTAATTGTGCAAACAAGATCATTTATTTTTGATAAGGTATTTAGGCTGACAATTACAAACAGAGAAAGTCAGATGGCAAAGAACCCAGAAACAGAAAAGTGGGTGACTCTGCACTACTAGGTCAACAAACAAAAACTGTAATGATAGGGGCTTTGCCATCTAAATGTAAAGGTGGGCAGTGGAGGTTGGAATTTGGTTTTGCAAAACCTCATTGGTTCAATTGAGAGGGTAGAATGTTTTTACCCAGGGAATATCAAAATTTGCTGACTTAGGTGGAACATTTTTGAGGGAGGCACTTGTTAAAACATTTGCAGCACACTGCTGGGTAATTTAACTACTATGCAGAAAACTTTCTTTCAGAAATGAGTTTGATGAAGTTTTGATTTACTACTTCTGCAGAGAGCTAGTCAAATACAGACGGTTACACTGATTGAAAGGAAGACAAAAAGTTTTAATAGGAAATGCATGACAGCCACAACAGTTTACAAGGTTGTAATCTAGTAAGCAAACAAAACCCCAAGGTACAATTTTATTCACATCACATGGTTACAATATTTACTTTTTTTTTTTAAGTAATAGACAGTTACAAAAATATCTGAGTTAGATATTGGGTGATTGTGAATCTATGAGAAGCCCTAACATATAACTATAGTGCATTAACAAAACAGCAGTGTTAGGATACTAAAAGGACCTATTCTCCCACTGATGCAGAGGATTTAGAGTTGCTTACCCAAAGTCAAAGCCCCAGAATACCCATGGAGTCAGCACCTATGCCTGCCCCTATAGCACACTCCTGCATTTGCTCTCCATCATAGGGCCGCTTTGTAGGGATCTACAGCTTGGTGCAGGCTGCCCAAGCTACATTCTTAATTGTTTAGCCTTAATTGATTTGTACGCAATTTCCAATATAAATTCTGAAGTACTATTAAACTAAATCTAAACGACTGATTGAGTTAGGATTCTCAGGAGTTCTAGACACATTTAGGTTAATAATTTAATTTACAGATATTTTCAGAGAGCATTTACACATATGTACACACATAGCAGACATTAACAGTGGATACGTGACACTGAGTTATCACAGATCTCTCCTAGCCCAAATATAGGGGAAAACTCTGATTTCTCAGATACCACTGTATGTGGTAACTGTTGCCAAATTCTGAGTGTTTACATGGTGAACTCCACACAGTGTGTGTACAACACACATACACACTTCAAATGTAATATTTGCCTACCATGGCAACAACAAAGATGCTGCAATACTCAGACCAGAGACAAAGGCCACCACGTAAGCCAAAACCAGATTTGGGATTGTAACCAGCATGACCGCAAAAGGAATCATCCACTAAGAGAGGGAAAGAAGAACCAGAAGAAAAATGGTAGATAAGATATATAGCAGACAATGGAAAATATATTTTTTCACACAGAAGAGGTGGCATTGTGAAACGGCAGCTTATATAGTGCTATGATCCAACAAAGTTTAAAGCTTCAGTGTTGTGAGAGAACGGTGCTCCCACAGGGTCCTACTTCATTATTTAACTTAGCAAAAGAGAGGAAGTGAATAGAGCTCTGCAACGGGACTGGGATCCCACGGGTCCTGCAGGACCCACTGCCATAATAACAGGAGTGGGTAAAATATACTTTGTGCGTGGGAATGGGTGGACAAAATCCCAGACTGGTAAGTTGTGGGAAAACATAATTTTTTTTTAAATAAAGGTTTTAATACTTAAATTTAAGTAAGGGGTAGAAAGAGATTTGATGTCTATTATAACAGGAATTAAAGTTATTGTTTTACACGGTTTAAGCAAGATTTGTGGGATTTTTTTAGTGGTAAAAATTGTGTCTGAATTCCATTGCTATACATATTATATAATATATTAACCAACTGTTTAAAATATGTGTCTTGCGGGATTTGTGGGATCTAAGATTTTTGCAGGTGGGAGCAGTGTAAAAATGCAAGAAACCATGAGGAAGGGAGTGGGTGGGAGGGGTAGTGGGTATTGCACAGCAAGACAGGAGTGAGATTTAAAAAATAGTCCTGCATAGGGCTCTAGAAGTGACAATACTTTAGAACAGAACAAGTCAGCCAGTGCTGCCATCTCCCCTTTATTTTCAACAACAGGAACACTTCCAGTACAGACAAGGCACTGCAAGGGGCTTTGAGTCATGTCTGGATTTAAAATCACCCATTTCACACATGAAATCAATTACTGATTTACAAGGAACTCTGGCACACATTGGTCTTCAGTGACTTTTTCAGAAACCTGGATATTAAGTATAAACAACTAACATTAGGGAGGCAATGTGGTCTAGTGGTTAACAGTAGGACAATTTACCCCACCACCATCCCCATGTCTGTCACTGACTTGCACTATAACCTCGGGTAAGTCACAAAGGCCCACATTTCCAGAATTGGAAATCTAAATTTGGATGACCTGGATTTGATTTTCAGCCTTGCTTAGCATCTTCACTTCAATTTGAAACAATGGGCTCATAAGGGTTAGAGATGCCCCCATTTAAAATGTGGACTCAAAAGCCATGCTCCCCAGTTGTCCCTGCATTCCATACCAGTCTTGTGCTATCACCTCAAATTCCTGTAAATAACTGACACAACGCGTCACAAAGCTGAGGTCTGCATAAAATGTTCTTTTTGTTAAATAACAAACATTTAAAGTTTCTTGGGTTTGTGTTGCTCGTTTTGATTCTCTGCACTATATTTGAAGCTTGAGTAGGCTGAGGGCATGAGCAAAGAACTTCAGTGAGGGTGCTGCTACTTTTGCGCTTGCTATTTATTTCTTCCGCAAGGAAAGCGGTGATCTTGGACACCTTGCCTGCTGGGGTCTAATCCATTTAAACAGGGGACACTTGTTGTATGTTTTAAATGCAGTTCCTGTCTAAGGAACAGACATTTGTGGGTAAACTCAAAAGGAGTAGCAAACCACCTTCCGAGACTACAGGTTCCCAGCATAAACAGCCTTTGCATTAGTCTGCAATGCTTGTGGCACAATCATTAGTTCACCACAAGAGAGCACTCTAGCAATACAGGTTTCAGAGGAACAGCCGTGTTAGTCTGTATTCACAAAAAGAAAAGGAGTACTTGTGGCACCTTAGAGACTAACCAATTTATTTGAGCATGAGCTTTCGTGAGCTACAGCTCACTTCATCGGATGCATACTGTGGAAAGCATAGAAGATCTTTTTATATACACACAAAGCAAGAAAAATACCTCCTCCCACCCCACTCTACTGCTGGCAATAGCTTATCTAAAGTGATTACTCTCCTTACAATGTGTATGATAATCAAGTTGGGCCATTTCCAGCACAAATCCAGGTTTTCTCACCCACCCACCCACCCCCCACACACAAAGGTATTTTTTCATGCTTTGTGTGTATATAAAATGATCTTCTGTACTTTCCACAGTACGCATCCGATGAAGTGAGCTGTAGCCCACAAAAGCCCACGCTCAAACAAATTGGCCAGTCTCCAAGGTGCCACAAGCACTCCCCTTCTCTTTGCGAATACAGACCGACACGGCTGTTACTCTGAAACCGGTCTCAACAGAGTGACTGCAGAGCTAGCAAAGCGCGACAACGTGCTGGCCGCTTCTAATCTCATATTAAACAGGGGCTAGGAAGCCTTCCTCTGTTATTTATGACAGGTTTCAGAGGAACAGCCGTGTCAGTCTGCATTCGCAAAAGGAAAAGGAGCACCCGTGGCACCCCAGAGACCAACCAACCCACTTGAGCACGAGCCTCCGCGAGCCACAGCTCACCTCATCAGATGCATACCGTGGAAACTGCAGCAGACTTTATATACACACAGAGAATATGAAACAATACCTCCTCCCACCCCACTGTCCTGCTGGTAATAGCTTATCTAAAGTGATCAACAGGTGGGCCATTTCCAGCATAAATCCAGGTTTTCTCACCCTCCACCCCCCCAGACAAATTCACTCTCCTGCTGGTGCTAGCCCATCCAAAGTGACAACTCTTTACATAATCAAGTCGGGCTATTTCCTGCATAGATCCAGGTTTTCTCACATCCCCCCCCCACCCCCATACACACACAAACTCACTCTCCTGCTGGTAATAGCTCATCTAAACTGACCACTCTCCAAGTTTAAATCCAAGTTAAACCAGAACATCTTCGGGGGAGGGGTAGGAAAAAACAAGAGGAAACAGGCTACCTTGCATAATGACTTAGCCACTCCCAGTCTCTATTTAAGCCTCAATTAATAGTATCCAATTTGCAAATGAATTCCAATTCAGCAGTTTCTCGCTGGAGTCTGGATTTGAAGTTTTTTTGTTTTAAGATAGCGACCTTCATGTCTGTGATTGCGTGACCAGAGAGATTGAAGTGTTCTCCGACTGGTTTATGAATGTTATAATTCTTGACATCTGATTTGTGTCAATTTTATTCGTAAATGGACATTTATGCTATTACCAGCAGGAGAGTGAGTTTGTGTGTGTATGGGGGTGGGGGGGATGTGAGAAAACCTGGATCTATGCAGGAAATAGCCCGACTTGATTATGTAAAGAGTTGTCACTTTGGATGGGCTAGCACCAGCAGGAGAGTGAATTTGTCTGGGGGGGTGGAGGGTGAGAAAACCTGGATTTATGCTGGAAATGGCCCACCTGTTGATCACTTTAGATAAGCTATTACCAGCAGGACAGTGGGGTGGGAGGAGGTATTGTTTCATATTCTCTGTGTGTATATAAAGTCTGCTGCAGTTTCCACGGTATGCATCTGATGAGGTGAGCTGTGGCTCGCGGAGGCTCGTGCTCAAGTGGGTTGGTTGGTCTCTGGGGTGCCACGGGTGCTCCTTTTCTTTTTGCGAATGCAGACTGACACGGCTGTTCCTCTGAAACCTGTCATAAATAACAGAGGAAGGCTTCCTAGCCCCTGTTTAATATGAGATTAGAAGCGGCCAGCACGTTGTCGCGCTTTGCTAGCTCTGCAGTCACTCTGTTGAGACCGGTTTCAGAGTAACAGCCGTGTCGGTCTGTATTCGCAAAGAGAAGGGGAGTGCTTGTGGCACCTTGGAGACTGGCCAATTTGTTTGAGCGTGGGCTTTTGTGGGCTACAGCTCACTTCATCGGATGCGTACTGTGGAAAGTACAGAAGATCATTTTATATACACACAAAGCATGAAAAAATACCTTTGTGTGTGGGGGGTGGGTGGGTGGGTGAGAAAACCTGGATTTGTGCTGGAAATGGCCCAACTTGATTATCATACACATTGTAAGGAGAGTAATCACTTTAGATAAGCTATTGCCAGCAGTAGAGTGGGGTGGGAGGAGGTATTTTTCTTGCTTTGTGTGTATATAAAAAGATCTTCTATGCTTTCCACAGTATGCATCCGATGAAGTGAGCTGTAGCTCACGAAAGCTCATGCTCAAATAAATTGGTTAGTCTCTAAGGTGCCACAAGTACTCCTTTTCTTCTAGCAATACAAGATCACACATTGCCTGCAAACAATTTGATGATTAACTCTGGGCTCAATGTCTGTGCCCACTCGGGAGCCAGAGCATCCAGAGAGGTTTTTAAATCGATAATAATACTGATTTTAAAACCGATTTTTCTAGTGGGGAAGGAGCAGGACCCAGGGCAGGCAAAACTGAAATGGTAATTCTCAGAAGCATCTCTTGTGCAAAGGCAGGTATGTGGGAGCAGTGTTCTCTAAGCTGCAAAGAAAATCACTGCAATAAGCAACCCATTTTTCCTACTCCGAAAACAAAAGGACCTTTAAATCCCACCAGGACCCACCAGGAGCAGTAACAGCAATATTCTATTGTCAGAACATGCTCCCCCCAGCCCCATCCAGAAGAACTTCAAAGCAGCACTATGGAAATGGAGCCATCGGTGGCTGAACGGTAGCAACCTGTATAGCACAGTGGGGCAAAGAGAAGGGAAGTTGGGGCAATCCTTTACAGAAAGAACTGCATGGGATCTTTAACACCCACATGGAGCAGAAATGGCCTCCATTTTTTAACTGTCTATGCAAAAACCTCTGCACTGCACATAACTCCATCTCTTTACCCCAGATGGACAAAGGGCCGTGTTGATTCTAGGGGGGTTTGAACCTGTAGTTTCAAGAAGCTTAGGTATGCTACAGCTAGTGTTTAGACCACTAAGCCACCTCCTCCAACCAATTTAAGTGTGAGGACGAGCGGTAAAAAGTCTGTGTCCATCATCTAGAATACAAGAACTATACTATAATGCCGAGTCTATTCAGGTGCTCAGTTTTTCAGGTAACCATCCCATCTTCAAATCACCTCAGAGAAGTCCTTCTTCCCTTCACCCTGAAGAGGGCTGAAATTATGGTGGGAAAACTACCTCTCTTCAGATATTTTTTTCAGAACCTTCTGCAATGACGTCTGCAGAAATACAGTTGCAATTAGTGAGGCAATTCTGCTTTCACAGTGACGGTGAGCAGATATAAGAGCTACAGATTCTCTTGAGCTTATGGCAAAGGAAGCCTTTGGGATGCACTGCCAGACAAGAGACTTTCACTGTGTAAACAGGAAGTACTCACACCATACGAGGGTGTGCCTACATTGCAAAAAAGGTGCTTCCTTCAATCCAGCTCCCTTGTAGTCTACAACACAACTAGCTAACATAATGGTAAAAGTGCTAAACCATGATTTGTTTGAGTTGAGGGGGCTTTCCAATAATGGTAAACTGACTTGATTCAGTCAACTCCATTGAAGAAAGCACTTTTGTTTGCTGCGTAGACAGTGCCTAGAAGGTAACTCTGTTCCCTTGAGGTCCATCTCAGCTTCTGCTAATTGCCTTTGCCGGCATGCTAATCAGAAGCAGGGATGGTCTTTAACCGTGAATTTCAGATGCATATTTCAAAGCATCCAAAGATCAGAGGTATCTGAAGCCAGTGTTTTGCTTTCAGCCCATCTCCAATTCATCAGACGTCACTGCAATATATAGATTTTAGCTTCAACAAATTGCTGCTATTCGTTACACCACCAGCTACCACCAGCCGTGAAGTATCTGAGGTTATTAAAAATGTTACAACACTTATAAAGCTAGATTCAGTGGGGAAATGCAGCCAATGCCAAAGCTCATCTACAGGCAGAGTTTTTCATAAAGCTCCCACTTTCTTCCTTGCCTCCTTCCCAGGGACTTGAAGTGCCTCAGCCTGCATGATGTGTCCAGGCTGAAAGCTCAAGTTGAGCTCTAGAGTGAGGAGTCAATGCAGACAGCAATGTGAACTCTCTCTGCTACTTGCCCTCAGTCCGAGGTTAAAAAAAAAAAACAGCAAAAGCTCAGGCAGGCATCTTGGCTCTGCCTTGGGAAGCTGTGACAGTTAAATCAGGCTTCTTTCTTCTGGGACCACTAAGATGCTAGCACAGGGGCTGGCAACCTTTCAGAAGTGGTGTGCCCAGTCTTCATGTATTCACTTGAATGTAAGGTTTCGCGTGCCAGTAATACATTCTAACGTTTTTGGAAGGTCTCTATGTCTAGATTATATAACTAAACTGTTGTATGTAAAGTAAACAAGGTCTTTAAAATGTTTAAGAAGCTTCATTTAAAATTAAATTAAAATGCAGATCTTATCAGTTTAGTGCAGTGGTTCTTAACCTGGGATGCATGCACCCCCTGGGGGTGTGAGATGCCCTTTCTGGGGGTATGAGACATGCCAGATTATTTTAGAAGATAAATCATCGAAAACACAAATTAAGCACAGGCACATAAGTACAACTACTTTGTTTCATCAAATCTATGTATTTATTAACATTATACATTTTTTAATGATTACTGTAATATACAAAGTTTTTAAGTTTTCAAGTTTTTAAGCTAATTGTAGTGTAATTTTTATAAGCAGTGAGAGAACATACTTTGAGAACTCCAGACCATCAGCGGGCTGAGCGGGCCTGGATGTAGTGTATTAAATTGCTCCCCATAGTAATGTGCTACTTACAGTGTACTACTTATGGCTGCCAGTCCTGATGCTCTGAGAGGCATGGTAAGGGGACGGGGAACAGGGGTGGTTGGATAGGCATGGGAGTCCTGAGGGGCCTGTCAGGGGTGTGGATAGGAGTCGGGGCAGTCAGGGGACAGGGAAGAGGGGGGCTTGGATGGGGGGTGGACTCGGGGGGGGGGTCGGATAGGGGTGAGGGGGTCCCAGGAGGGGGCGGTCAGGAGACAAGGAGAAGGGGAGGTTGGATGGGTGGAGGTTTCTGAGGGGGCGGTCAGGGGGTCCTGGGAGGGGGTAGTCAGGGGACAAGGAGTAGTGGGGGTTGGATGGGTCAGTGGTTATGAGGAGGGCAGTCAGGGGGCGGGAAGTGTTAGGGGGCGGATTGGGGGCGGGCTGTTTGGGGAGGCACAGCCTTCCCTACCCCAGTGTAGTGTATTAAATGGCTCCCCGTAGGAATGTGCTACTTACAGTGTACTACTTACGGCTCCTGGTGCTCCGCAAGCAGCACATTCCTACGGGGAGACATTTAATACACTACACCGGCAGACAGAACCCCAGACTGGCGGCGGGCCGAGCGGCTTAGCCCGCCACCGGACTGGGGTTCTGTCCGCCGGCTCCTGCCAGCTGGGGTCCCGGCTGCCGGCCCCACTCAGCCCACTGCCGGCCTGGGGTTCCGTTCACCCAGGCCAGCAGTGGGCTGAGCGGGGGCGGCGGCCGGGACCCCGGCTGGCAGCAGCATGCCAGTAAAAATCGGCTCACGTGCTGCCTTTGGCCCGCGTGCTGCAGGTTGCCGACCCCTTTGCTAGCAGCTCATTTATTTATTTTACTTTGTAAACATTTGCAGGAAGAGGGAAAACCAACACTACAGGAAGCTCATCCTTTTGGCTCAAAGGGGTTCATGCTAGATCTTCCCCAAACTCAGTTCAGGAGGGTTTCACTACTCTCTCCCCCATGACTGAGGCAGACTTAGTCAGCTGAAACTACCAAATTTGGCCAAGCTAAATATCAGATAACATAGCCCTTGAACACAGGACAGTTCAGATCTGAATCTGAAACTCTGTGCTCAGGTTCATCTCTGTGAGACAGATACAAAGTGGAACCTGGTTAGACTTTGGGTCAAGTTTGCATCTCGTCTTGGCTCACTAACCCATCTCTTGGAAAATTTCTTTGAAAAACTTGGAGTTTGCCTGAATTGGTACAATTCAAGATTTGAAACGAACCCTGAAATCAGGAAAACTTCTGCTGGTGTCGGTTTTTATTACAAAAGTTGTGAACGGTTCCTGAGGAAGCTGCTATTGACATGTAAGATGCCATGTTGCACAGATTTTCATAACGGTTTACTTACGGAAATCCCACATGCTGCACTTTTCTTGCCAAATTGCTGTAGAAACCACTGCCAGAATGGAATGCTCACCGCTGCTGATACCTATATATGATGCAAAAATATTTGTACAGTACTGACTAGGTCTAGGATCATCTCCAGAGGCTACAGTGACACCCTATACTATACTATGCGAAGGATTTGGACTGAGGAAGGACTCTGGGATTCCTGCTCCCTTCACAACTAAGAGACAACTAAGAATCACAAAAATTACAGATGAAAAAGTCTCATTAGGTCATCTAATCCATCTCCTTACCATGCAGAACTGTCCCATGCAGACACACACATCACCAAGGTGATGGATACAATATAAGAATTTAAATAGAAAAGAATATAGTACATTCCCCAGTGATTTGTCCAGTGCACTATTACATGTCCCAAGTGATAAGTGACTATTCACTATTTCCAAGTGATAAGTGATAGACTATTCAAATACATTTTAAGAACAGAAACTTTCTCCCAATACGCATCTTAAATTTTCCCTTTCTTAACGTAAACCATAGAAATTAAGAGACAGAAATGACCAGCTAGTTCGTTCAGTCCATCCCCCGGCAAATTCTAATTGTACTTCATGCTACTGCTTTCCATTTAAACATCTAAAAACTCGTGGGTGTCTCTCTTTCTCTACATATAGATTTATAGATATATATTGATTTATATAGATAGAATTAAACACAACACCATCCTTGAAAGGAAAGCTGAAGTAAGTACAGGATTCACTCCTTTGGGGGCGGATATATCCAGTACTGCAATTGATCAAAGCCAAAATGTCATCCCATTATTCCTAGCTTTACCCCACCTTGTACCTCCTAAACAATTCCTCTCCCTCCTTGGCATTTATATCTTTCCAATACCTACAGAGACTAGGGATATAAGAAAAGAAAGATTACCTACCTTCCGTTACCAGAGTTCTTCGAGATGTGTGGTCCCTACCTATACTACCTGTGGGATATGCATGTGCTTTATGCACCTGAGACTGGAAGAGTCTTGCCAGTAGTGTCTGTTGGTCCCCATGCTCTAATGCAAGGGCAGGAGGGACAGTGTTGACTGGCCACCTCTCCAGTTCCATCTATACTGCAAATCAAGTGTTATGATCTGAAGCACAGGAGAAGGAGGGCAGGTAATGGAATACAGAAAGGGAGCACACCTCTTAACGAACGCCAATTACAAAAGAAGGTAGGTAACTTTTCTGCAAGTGCTGGTCCCTATGTGTATTTCACTGTGCATGACTGACAAGCAGTACTCATGATGCAGGAGGGTACAAGGACTTCTGCTGTACTCTCTATAGGAATGCTGACCCAAAGGATGTATTATTACACAGTGCTGCCTTGAGTGCAGGGTACTGGACTAGATGACCTACTGAGGTCCCTTCCAGTCCTACACTTCTATGCTCAGATGAGGAGGCTTGCATCAAGACACAAGTGTCTTGTGAAGATATGAACAGAACGCCACAGAGCTGCTTTACATATACCAAGGAGGGGTACTTCCTAAAGCGAAGCTGTTGAAGCACCTTTCCTCTGGTGGAGTGGGCCTTGCTCTGCCAGGTGGAGCTGCATGAGATAACTGGTAAGAGAGCAACATACAGCCTGAAATCCACTTGGATAGTCTTTGTGAAGATAATGCTTGTTCTTTCATATGTTGCACTAGGGCCACAAACAGCCCAGGCAATCTCATAAAGGGCTTTGTTCTCTGAAGATAGAATGACAATGCCCAAGATATGTCCAGTGAATGGAGTCTCTGATCCTAATGGCTGGTATGAGGCTTAGGAAAAATATATACAGGTACATGTATAGTCTGAAATTACTTTGGACACAAACTGTGGGTGCAGCCTCAAGGAAACCTTATTCTTACGGAAACCGATGTATGATGGGCCATGTATAAGGGCCCCAAGTTTGCCTACCCTTGTAGCCAAAGTGATGTTCACCAGAAAGGCTAACTTCCTAGAGTAACATGAAAGAGAGCATTTTGCTAGTGGTTCAAATGGTGATTTACTTAGCATGGAAAGGACCAAGTTGGATCCCATGTTGGGAAAGATCTGGCTATTGGAGAGAAGATTCTGATTAAGCCCTTCAGAAATTGCACAATCACTGGATGCGTGAAGATGGAGTAGTCACCAAGAGGAAGGTGGTAGGCACTAATTGCCACCAAATGAACCCATAGGGATCTATGGGAAAGACGAGAAAATTTCAGGGTGAGCAGACAGTCTAAAATAATGGGAATGTCCATGTTGTCTGAGGACATTTGGTGACATCTGACTCCAAACAGAGAATCTTTTCAACTTAGCTAAGTAACACCTTCTAGTGGATTCTTTCCTGATATTGTTCAGGATGGCTTTAACAGCTGTTGAACATTTCTGCTGTAGGTTCAATGCCCATCCAAATACCAGGCTGTGAGGTGAAGTTACTCTGGATTCAGATGCCTGATCTTGCCCTTGTCCTGTGGAGGAGGTCTGGCAAGGACTGGATGCTGACTGGTGTGGACAAGATGTCAAATCAAGAAGGATGGGGAACTGAATTCTCTTGGCCATATGGGAGCAATGGGGGTGATCACTGCCTTGTCCCGCTGGACATTCCTGAGAACTCAAGGTAAGAGTGGAATGGGGTAGGGGAAGACTACATCAAATTTCCCATCCATGGGAGTAGAAGGACATCTCCCTTGGAATTATGACTGTACACCCCGCAGGGAAGTATATTGTGCATTTCTTGTCTTGAGACGCAAACAGGTCCAGAATCGGAGATACCCTTGCTGGAATAGGTCTTTCACCAATGAATAGTGAATCTCCCATTTGCCATCCATCAAGAAGTGCTGAGACTGTTTGCTTGTGTATTGTGAATTCCCGGAACACGAACTGCCGATAAGGTAACCCAATGACAAATGCACCAATTCCAGAGGCAGACTGCCTCTATGCAAAGGGTGTAGATCTTGCTCCTCCTTGCTTGTTGATGTAGAACACAGCCATCATGTTGCCTGACATCACCTGAATGTGCTGGGAATGAATGAATGGTAAGAATTGTTAGCAGGCCTCTGAGACGGCTCTCAGTTCCATGAGACTTTTGTGCACCCTGGACTCACAAGGTGTCCATATGCCTTGTGCTATTTGTTCGTCCAGATGTGCACCCCAGACTACTAAGGAGGCATCCACGATTAGCGTTTTCTGAGCAGGTGGCGGAGAGAAAGGACCTGTTCTTCGTCCTGCCACCAAACCTTGTATCCTGGGTGAGGAGTGTGTGACGTTCCCCTCTGGTGTTATCTGGACCAGTGATCTGCTAGGTCACTCCAATCCTTGACCCTGGGGGCCAGCCTTACCTTGCTGTGCTGTGAGAACTCCCACTCCTGGGCTGTTCATGCACAGCCTCTGGCATGCAAGCTGCTCTCAGCTACTTGCAACCAAATGACACTAGCCGATATCTCTGGTCCCAGACACAACCCTAGGAACCTCTGTCTTGCAGTGTCCAGTTATGCCCGCTGGACTCTGCAAGTTTATATGAGTTCGTCAATTTAACAAATAAATTGATATGTACCAGGCTTGTTATTCCAAGGGGAGTCTCTGACACGCTTCAAACCAAATGCACTGCTTCAGGTAGAACAAACAAACAAATGTATTAACTATGAAAGATAGATCTTAAGTGATTATAAGTCAAAGCATAAGTCACATTTGGTCAAATGAAATAAAAGCAAAACACATTCTAAGCTGATCTTAACACTTTCAGCGCCCTTACAAACTTAAATGCTTCTCACCACAGGCTGGCTGGTTGCTCTTCAGCCAGGCTCTCCCCTTCGATCAGCGCTTCAGTTGCTTGGTGTGGTGTCTGTAGATGTTGGTTGAAGAGAGAGGAAGAGCATGGCAAACATCCCTTTTACCATGTCCTTTCTTCCCTCTTGGCTTTCCCTCCGCCCTTCAGACTCGGGTGACCATTACATCATCGCAGCCCCAAACTGACCAAAGGAAGGGGGGTGACTCACTCGAGAGTCCAACAGATCCTTTTGTTGCTGCCTAGGCCAGCGTCCTTTGTTCCTGTGAGTCTGGGCTGGGCTTGTCCCATACATGGCCTGATGAGGTGTGAACTCTGCTCTTGGAGAGTTTTTGCCTGGGCTTATTTTAAGCCATGAAGACACATTTTCAACCTCGTAACTATATACATGAAATTATAACCTATAACATTACTATAACATCACTATAACAACAATGCTCAGTGCATCATGAGTCTTCCGAAGACACCCAACATGACAAACTTTGCATTGAATACCACACAATCATTTTACAAGAATGAACATGGGGGTGCTGGGTGTTCCCCCCGTGTACAGAGCATCACAGAGTGTAATTAACTGGTCCATACTGTGCCTGCTTGGCACATATACTACTCAAAAACAGGCTTGTAGACAGTCAAGTCAGAGGCACATGACTGGTGTCACATAGGTTCAAGATGCCATGTAACCCAGGATGACAAGGATGTTTGTGAGAGCTCTCTCAGCTGATTGATCAGAATGTTCATAGACTGAAATATCTCTAATATGGAAGTAAGCTCTGTCCAACTGGTCATGGTTGTTTCTACAGTTGCTCCAATGAATTCTGTGGTCTGCGTTGAAGCTGAAATGGACTTTTCTACATTCATGCAAATTCCTAGTTACTCCTGAGGGCATTCTGTGACAAGAAATTAAAAATTCTGCACCAAAAAAATTAAAATTCTGAGCGCAATATTTTAAAATTCTGCAAATTTTATTTGTCAAATAAATGTGGAGGCTTCAGCATGGCATTGTGGAGCACAAGTCACTGGCTGCAGAGAGGTGGGAGATCATTGTGCCATTCCCCCCCCCCGGGACACGGACTCATTAGTGGGGCTGCACCCAATCCTGACACAGCACAAGGACCGGGCCTGCCCTAGAAACATCCCAGGGCCATGCCCCTCCATGTCAGGTGCACCAGGTGTGGGCAGGCAGGATCCAAGTGTGGAGGGGCTTAGTGTGGGGGGATCCAGGTGTGGGTTGAGAGGGTTCTGTGTGGGGCAACCTGGGTGTAGGAAGCAGTGGGGAATCTGGGTGTGTGT